GTTTATTCAAAAGCCCCCTCTTGAAGGTTAAACCTAGATTTGGACACGCTAGTGTTGCTAAAGGGTGGTGATAATAAATTTATTATCAATGGTATGGACCTTAAATAAAACCTTAGATATGAGGCAAATAGTATAGTCCATACTTAGCCAGTTGTATTTATTTCAGAAGACTAAAATCAACTGAGGTATATCTAAGTCACCGAATACTCCGCGAATTCAATCCACAACAACACTTATGAAATTGTGTACTTGGGTATTTAGTTGATTTCCCTAACTATTCGAATAGGAAGACTAAAGTCACTGATCTACAAGATTTCTCATTTTTATTCACATCTGTGCTACTAGAGGCGTTATTTCCCACACTCCGTCTCTGGGAGACTAACTTGAGTCTAAAGACCCTAAGTAATTCTGATGGTCGAGTCTTTGCTTCATGAACCACGTCTATGATCAAATACGTCTACTGTTAGCCAACTAGCTATAGTCATTACCGTTTCTATACTGTTTCTATCTATAGCGTCAAGTCTATGAATTCCTATGTTTCAGTCTCTTGTATTTCAACCCATAAATACTGTAGTTCTACAGTGAAACTAATCAAAACAAATATAACTAAAACATTTGTGGGTTGGCACACAAGAAACTATGGCATATCACGTCATATAGTTGGTATTACGAATAGAAACAGGATAGACGCGGCGGAGACTGGAGCTAGCTGGCTAGAAATAGACGTATTTGATCATAGACGTAGTCCAGGAAGCAAAGGCTTGACCGTGAGTACTACTCGAGGGCTTTAGACTCAAATTATTCTCCCAGAGGCAGAGTGCGGTAAACAACGCCTCGAGTAGTACGGATAGGGTATCAGGCGTCGAGTGAAATACTTAAACTAAGAGATAGCAGATAGATCCTACGGGGTAAGAGGGAGACTCTGATAAGACCTCTGCAAGGAGGTCTGTGTGACAATAGGGCGGACTCTGATCAATATCCCAAGCACAAGAGTGAGGGGAGTGAGAAGGCCAGCGTAGGGTGTGGAGAGTTCTCATGAAATCCGCTAAAAGGGAACACAATACCGTATTTAAATAATCAAGTAAAAAATAGTGATAGTGAAGGGGTGATACGAGGATGTAGGATTCGTGATTAGCCCAGGGTGGAAGGAGGGATACCACGATAGTTTAGCAGACAATTGGTCAAAGTTTCGTCTTCACTTGTCTCTTTGATAAGTTGTGGTGTAGTGCTAAGAATGTCAAGACTCACTGACGATGCCAACTAAACGCCTGGGAATGTATCACGTACATGGTCCGGGTCTGGAAATTATCATGCATACTATGGATCCCAAATCAGGTGCACTCCCCTAGGTCGTCCTAACAATAAGAACAAGTTGCAAAAACAAGGTCAAACAACTTCAATATTGTAGATAATTAATAAAGTCAAAATATGAAATGATAAGCACACCCACTAGAATTAAAGGATATTTTAACACGAGTAAATTATCACTACTGCATCGACTAATATATTACATTATTAAGTCTGGTTTCGAAACCCATTCATATTTCCATGCGATAGGCAAGGCACACTAGGTTCTCAATATGCTACTTTGATCAAACTAGTTTGAGAAAACAAAAGAGATTTTAATATTGTAGGACTTTCATTTTGAATCTTTTAATCACGCACTTTACTACTGAATGAGAGTCGTCATAGCAATATTATCTCAGAAGACTCATTGAGACCCGCTCTTAGTAAATAAAAGGGAAATTCGACGCTGAAAATAGATATAGTTTGATCGTCTTTTAGAGTCTTTTGCTAAATCCCGATTATCCTATCACAGCTCCGCTATAAAATGATGTATGAGTAATAGTAGGATGGGACAAAATATAAGATGGTTTTGCATCTGAACTGTGGTGAGCCTCTGCAAAACAATCAACAACCATGACGGAGAGTTGTCAGATTAAATCCTGCGTGCAATTCATAAAGGTAACCATATCAAGAAAAGCTCCGAGAGATTATATACTGCCAGAGCCAAGTTGACATAGACGTGTAGCGACTCGTCCCAATCTCTTTTCACTACATCTATTGACTACCTTACAGAACTAGTGAACCACACAATACAACGTTACTTCAGGCAAAGGTCGCCTTTAACTAAAACCTGAATAAACAAGCTCCCAATTTGACCTATCAGATCGGATGATCACGTGGAACCAGGCAGTTATCCATGATCCGATCAGAAGTTTCAACACACGACGAGCAACTAACCAATGAACTAAGGAAACTCAAGTGAAGGGACGGCTCCCGCCTCTGCATAAAGAGGAAGCTTACATCCTTGCACGCCACACCTGTGCACCAACCTTGCGAAGTGACACCTTTACGGTCTGCTCTCGCGTATAAACTATTATGTTCTAAACAAACTTTGTATTAATCGGTATCCCTTATCCAAACAGGATTGGCATATGTATGTCAAAGCATATACAAAAAAGGTGAATAAAAAAACTAAGGGGTTGAATCGCCCACTTTCTTCGTGCCATTTGTACG